AAATTCAGTGATTTTTCGAGATACTATATTATGTTTTTTTTTAAATTGCCAGATCCACCAATTTGATGCTTTGAACAAAGGCATAGCTATTTCAGCTTTTTTTTGTAAAGCCCATCTTTTCAAATCAATATCATGTACAGTTATCTTCGATATCATAGCTTCATTAAAATTATTAAAAACATATTCTGATATTTTGAATAATTTATCATATCTACTGCCTCCTGCTTTAACTTGCTGTTTCCATCGTCGTAATTGTCGCTCGCTAGTTACTTGTTTGTATTTGTGCTTTACAGTATTAAATGAATAAGGCTTACCTTTTCCACTCAACCAAAACTTTACTGCTTCTTCTTTATATTTAAAGTCAATTTTGTCTTGCTCACATGGATTATTTAATTCTTCTAGAAAATCCTCAGATTTTTCGTTTTCCATGTACTCAATAGCTTCTGGATACATTTCATTTTCATCGCAAAAATACAATGTCCTTTCTTCTTGAACATCAACATCAGAATTTTCTGCATGCTGTCTTATTATTTTCTCCAGTATGTTGTGCAATTGCATTTCTTCGTTACTGATTTAAAACTTTGGTTCGCCATTATTGCTCCGATCAAATGTCATTGAAAGTAAGATTGTTACAACTTTTGCATCAACAGGCATCTTTTAAATATATATATAGTATCCAATATGTACGAATAGTGAAAAGTCTGATTTGAAAAGTCACGCAATCAAATTCTGAGCACAGAATTTTCGATGATAGTAAAACTAATTATTTTCAAGTAGTCTTAACAATTTTATGAACAAAAAAATAAAACAATAAAACAATAAAAATAAAACATATAAAACATGCTTTTATATGAATTGTATATCTAAATGCATTGGCACTTACTGAATATATACAGGTGTTATGTTATACAAGTACAATTTTAAACTAAACTCGACCTTTCATAAAACGTGTTTTTATATTTTTCCTTATGAGCAAAATAAAATAATATTATAAAGATAACAAAAACCGTACAACATTGTCAAAAATATCGAGTGGTTAACTATTGCGGCACTGCTTCCGCATATTAGTATCAATATGATTAATCAATCGCGGTTTCCGCATTTGCAGTGGTCAACAAAAGAATAACAACAAAGTGTCTGCAATATTTTTATTACTATTATTGTTATATATATAATTAATGCTGTCAAAATACAAAATTATTTATTTGGTGATAAGATTTTATATTCATATGCACGTCAATGTAATACATGGATTATAGGTATACAATACGATGAGGAACATAAGAAAATCAATAACAATTCATAATAATACATATCCTAATAATAACAATATAATAATAATAACAGAAATCATAATAAACTGTCAACTGGTTGATAACAGTTTTTTCAGAAAAATTTTTAACTATAATAAAATTATTTTTTGAGCCAGAAAAACTGCGTAAAAATCATTTTTCAAAAAAATTTGCATAATATTTATAATAAACAATAGAAAAAAATTAAGAAACAAAAACAAGCGAAGTTTGTGAAATTCAAAAAGTCCCAAAAACCACATTTTTATTTTTGGTACCACTTTGGGACTCAAAATACAAATTTTTTCGGTAAAATTTTTTACATATATTAGAGGTTATGTAAGATCATAAGATAATTTTTTTCGGTCAAACTAATTAATATATCTTAAAGTATGAGTCTTTCCCTTCAAAATGAATTTTGAATCGTTCAGATATCTTATTCTTTCACCAAGATATGATAATTTGAATTTAGCGTCTCGCCAACTTATGCACTTCAAGCGTATGTAGATAATTATAATTGGCAACCCTGTTTTTACCACCTAAATTACCGTATGGGCCGCTAAAAAAAAATACGTGTCTAATATTTTTTGATACTTTAATCGTATGCAAAGTTTGAAGAAAATCGGTGACGGACACCTCCCTGCCTTCCCTTGTAAGTCGAGATATTTGATTTTTTTACACATAAAAAGAAAATGGTGCATAGTGCGGCTTTGCTGGACTTTGGAACGCATGTCTCGGTGGTAGATTCAGTGATAGAAGATAAATTGAGGACCCGATTGATACAGCTAATTTTCGTAAAAGAAATCTTAAAAAAAAATCGATGATGTGCGGCGATTTAAAGTTAGACTTTGAATTGGGCGGTAGGTGTATATTTTGATAGTAAGCGCTTACTGTCAAATTACTTATTGTGATTACTCTGAACCAAAATATAATTTTAATAAAGTAGTAAGCTTGGAAGAAATGGCGTTTGAACATCGATTACGAAAATCGTCAGTGGCGAGGGGATGATCACGGTGGTTGGTACCTTCTCGCGGATTCCGCAGGTCGTGCGGTAGACGTGTTTGCTGATTGTACTGGTTTGACGTGTTATGAGAAGATTCAGCAGGAGTAGATCCTGGCGTTGGTCCGTCGAATTGTCCTAAGCAAGAAGAATACCTGGTGGTAATGGGTACTGAAAATTCCGTTAGTTTTCTTACTGAAAATTGACTCGTGTCAATACAAAGTAAAAGTTCGGGGACAGATTGAGAAAAATAAGATTTGGCGTATTAAAGATTCGTCGGATATTGCCGTTGACTTCTTGAGATCGTTGAAAGCTGAGCGTGAAATTTTGTAGAGAGATAGGAATGACCAAGTGATTTGTTGAGTTTTTCTTCGTTTCTTTTTTTTATTTGACTAATACTATTTAAAGTATAATTTATACCAAGATTTGATTGGAAATTGATATAATTTAACTTAGCAAATTTTTAGCTGACTTTTGTTGAAAACTGAAGAGTCACTGCAGAGCAGTGCAAGCGACGGACTCCAAATTCCTTCTAAAGAGAAAAATCGAATGCGAAAACTAGAAGCACCGAACATGCAAACTCATGGAGGTGGGAGCAACAATGGTAATTGAACCTATGCGCATATAGATAACCACGCGAAAATATTAGCGCGTAATTTGATTTAAATTGCTTATTAACTAAAATTTTTTAATTAATTAATGTATTTTGGTATTTAAGCGATTTGTTGATTGTAAGCGCGGATTTTGAGTTATTTGAGATGGTTTGAGCGGGTGTTGTGTCGTTTGGTCAAGGCGGGCTGAAAGGTTAATCTGGAAAAATCGAATTCTGTTTGTACAGAGGTCACGTACATATGTTATCGATTGCATTGCGAAGGTTTATGAGGGCTTACGAGGAATCTAGACAGCGTCTCGCCCATCATTGAATACCCTGCTTCGACAAGCTTGGAACAGTTGCGTAGATTTTTGGATATGGTGGACTGGTATGCGCCATTAATTGAGCACGAGAGCGATATTAAAGTTTCACTCACGAAGCTTTAGCGCAAAGACCATCCATAGATTTGGGACCAGGAGTAACAGGAGGCATGCGAACTATTAAAGAAGGCGTTGATGGAGACACCGGTACTGGCGCGGCCGGATTTCGAGCGTACGTTTTATCTGTATTGCGATGATTCGTCATTTACTGTCGGGGTTTGCTTCATACAAATTTTCGATGATGGCGATCATTCAATTTACTACGTATGTTGAACTCACACGAGCGGAATTATATAGTAAACAAAATTAAGTTCTTGGTGGTTCTTTTCGCCGTGAACATGTTTCGTCCTTTTATTGAGGGTCCCTACTTTGTGGTTGTGACAGTTCACAAAGCGTTAACGTGGATACTTGGAAAGCGGGAATTCTAGGGTAGACTAGGGTGATGGGTTTTGGAATTCCAACAGTTGCGAAGTCAAACTGTGAAATTGTTTATAGAAAGGGAGTTTCACATCGCGTACCAGACGCTCTCTTGCGTGAGTTCAAGGATCAGGCGGAGATTTACGCATTCGAGACGAGCGAAGATATGTTGTATTTTCAGCGAATGAGCGATGTGGTTGATAGGCCGGGAACGTTGGAAATCCGAGAATAGTTTGCAGTATAAATATATACGCGATCATTTGCTAGACCTAGTGACGAACCACGAAGAGTGTTGGAGCTTGGTCATGCTACCAGAAGCGTGTCCTGCCTGACGCCTATTACGAGTCGTCTGCCGGACATTACGAAGGGGAAAAGACGTACGATCGAGTAGCCCGTTAATGCAATTGATCAGGCATTTGGTAGGACGTTAAAAATTTTGAAGAAATATTTTTTTTGAATATTGATTAGTTGAATTTGAATATTGGTTGAGTTTCGTTAAAATATTTTAGAAATATTTAAGCGAAATGTTTCTTGAAACATTCATCTTAAAATATTTCATATTATATGGGGCTGTGATTGACTCACAGTGAGGACATGTAAAATGTACATATTTGCACCGATCAGGTATGCGATTTTTAACACATTTAAAGCATTTGGTTTCGTCACGATATTTTTTACCACTATAGCTAAAACTTGAACCCTTACAGCATGAATTCGTATTTATATAGTTATAGAGTCTACAATTTTTATATCCAATAAATAATCTTTTTTTTTTTTATTACAATCAAAGATTGCAAAATTAATAATAAGAATTGGCTCAGAAGGATCCAAAAGGGAAAAACTTAATCAATCAATACGTTCGTACAAAAGTCAGTCCGACGCACTACCTAATTATGTACCAAAATAAATTCAATGAATTGAAAGCCATTATTTAGTTCACCTGACCCTCTTTTCTATCATAAGAAGCCTGCAGTCCATAGAGGTGCGAAACCCCGCACCGCTGTCAGTAGGAGCGAATGCGCCTCTTGATCCTTAATTAAATATTGTTCGCGATTGAGCGAGGGCTGATAATTGTCTGATACAATTAAAAAGCCAAAACGTAACAATAATGTTACACAACAATGTGATTTTAACGTTATTTTGTCGAAATAAAACTAGTACTTTTACGATATTTCTGATAAGATGCTTTTGAATACTTTCAAAATATTGATACATAAAAGCTATCTACATTTTTATGTCTTTCTTTATAGAAAAATACTCTTTTTATTACTTTCTTTCTCGTTTTGTCATTCGTTTAATCATTTTTATTCTGATATTTCCAGCGATGAAGTTCGAGAAAAAATGAGAAGTCGTTACCTGTGCAATCCAGAATATAATTTCGAAAAGGTAAACAGAGCTAGTATGGCCTGCGGTCCAATGGTCAAATGGGCTATTGCTCAGGTAAGCTATTTTTCTAATACATACAGTATTATTTGACAACTTTTGCGTGATTGATTTTTTTCTAGATACCGAAGTGCAGTGACATCAAGTACATATTCATAATTAAATAAATTAATCCATATGTGAGAACCAATCACAGGGAACAAAAATTTACAGTGCCGGCTAATAATTCTGAACAGGTAATTAATGTTTTGCTCCAACTTTGAGCAAGAGCAGCTCTTTCAATTTTTATTCTAAAAAAATTCTGACCCGGTCATTTCGAAGCTCTCTTCTAAAGCTTTCTTTCTGAGTTCCTTAATTTTTTTCAGAGGTGATTTTACGAATATTAAAATGAGTAAGAAACTTCAGACATTGTTGCACTTTTTCAGTTTTGTTCAATCGGCTGTAGTTTTTTCAATATTAGAGATAGAATGATTCTGAAGGGGCTTGGAAAATACTATTTTTCAAAAAATTGTCTCGTCAATTTATAGTAAAGTTTTGAGCTCATAAAGTTACCGATTTTATACTTGTGTTATTGACAAAATGTAGAAAGCAGATAAAAAATAATCGACCATTTATTTTTTATACTTAACTTTTTTCTTTTTTCATATAGGTATTTCAGCAATCATAATAAATTGTTATAACGACATCAAAATCAATAATAATCCAACGGTTATAAAAACTGTCTAAATGTTCTCAACAACATGAGTATAAAATCGATTTAAGTCGAAACTTTCCGAAATCAAAACTGTGCTATAAATTGACGAAACAATTTATCGGGAAATTGTTTTAAATAGAATTTTTGAAGCCCTTTCAAAATCTTTTTCAAAATTGTTCTATCTCTAATATTGAAAAAACTACAGCCGATTGAACAGAAATGAAAAAGTTGCAACAATATCTGAAGATTCTTACGCGTTTAAATATTTGTAAAAAAAAACCCTGAGAAAAATTAAGGAAGCCAGAAAAAAAAACTTTTGGAGAGAGCTTCAAAATGATTGGGACAGAATTTTTTCGGAATAAAAATTGAAGGAGCTACGCTTGCTCAAAGTCGGAGCAAAACATTAATTACCTGTTCAGAATTATTGGCCAGCGCTGTATAATTGAAAACATCTCAAACATCTCATATCTCTTAAATGTTTGACTGGATACGTTCACAGTCTCTTGAGTAATTCATTGCTACATACAACAAGTTATATGTCATTACAAAATTATTTATTATTTTCTAGCTGTGAATAATTATATTCAAAGTATTATGAACAGAATATAACTTTTTGAATTATTATCAAATATACTCGTATCACATTTACTATAATACTTCATTGAAAATCGTACACGTCAACTTGGCAGTTAAAAATATAACAAAAATAGTCTAAAAGAATTCATTATATTAATAATTTACTTGTCTTGTATGACGACTGGCAATAATTGTCGACAATTTTAATTGTGTGTGTGTGTGTGTGTTAGTGTCTGTGAGTGTATATATTTATTTTGTTCTCTTCTTAAAACCATTGCTCCTTTTGAATTTTTCTTACGAAGCGCATTTTGAGTGCCAGCAGCTGTATGCGTTTAGATCACCCCACAAGAGATAAGACATGGCCTAATAGGAAAGAGAGAGTGATAAAAGATTAAAAGCACTTACTCTGACTTTTCCATGGGAAAACTCAAAAATCATTTTATATAGAAAAATAATCATTTTTATTTTGCATAATTATTTAAAAAATTCATTAATGTAAAAGGTTAATTATAAAAATTTTATCAAATTTCCATAAGTATAATTCGAGAAGCAATAAAAACCTTCTCGATAACTGAATTAAAGTCTCTCCGATTTATCCCTATAATTATATAAAACAACAAATAATTATTTTATACAAGAAACCAGTTAAAAATTATAGTAAACTTTATACTATTTTATACTCTTTTTTATTTATAAAAAAGAAATTTTTAAACCTTTCTTTTGATAATTTTCAACTTGTTTTATTATAACTAAATATTATACCTGTTATTAAGATATTGAATATAAAGCTTTCCATAAAATAGACATAAATTAACCATTACAATAGCATATAATCAACAGATCAATACATTAAGAGCTATCTCTGAAGAAAAGGGCCCAAGTTCGAAGGAGCCCCTCGTTCATTTTTTGGAAAACCCCCGCCCTCTAGCCAACGAAGAGACGTAATCTTCTAAGATAACATCTTTTCTTCAATAAGGCCATGAAGACAAATGCACTCCAGGGTCTAAAGAAAGTAGCTTTTCATTTCTCTCGCTTATCTGAAGTGATAAGCTAACTGAGAGAAAAATAAAAAATCAGTCCAACGCCACCACAGACTCTAGAAAGCAAGCTAAATCTAGAGAGAAGAATCGTAACTTAAATTCTGGGCGTGCCCAGCTCTATTTATGAATTTATAAAGTATTTTCAAACATAAGTTTTCTTGAGAATATAAGTAAGTCAAGTCTAGATTATTGGTTAATTTAAAAAAACCCTCATCTTTCCCAATTCGAAGTCGACAATCTCCCCTATTCACGTTACGGTCTCCTCTAATCACCGAATAATCTGGTACCCGTATGATATAGTCGTCGACAATTGGACCAAGCCAGATCTCGGCCACTTCAAAATCGTGATAAGTAAGATCCCCAGCCAGGAATAAGCGGAGCCTCTCAATACGAGCTCTCAATGAGTTGATATTTTAGAAACCCCACTCTGAGGATACTACAACCTCGCGGAACACCTAAAGCGTCCGCCGGGCGTAGTCACACTGTCACTGGATCACCCCCAGCACTTTCCCGTCCAGATTTCTCGGTCGTTCTCTCAGTCATCTCTCTATTCCACTTTTCTTCATTAAACGCTAGCGATACGCGAGTTACTCTTGACGACTCCCAAGTCGACATGATTGCCTGCAAGTCCGTCGTTGTTTCAAAGGCATGCGCTTTTTTACCGGTTCTCCGATGGACCAGGAAATGGTCCTCCACTGTACCACACATATGAAGCCAAGCCCCCTTTCAATAGGCCTTAGGTTTTGAAACGTCTTGAATTCTGATTGAGTTCATTAATCAAAATTTTTCCTTGTGGCACAAAGGAAGACAGCTTTAATCCAAGTGAATCATTCTTGAGATCACTGGTAACCAGGTAAGCTGTGGGCATCCCTCGTTTGGCCTTCATCACCTCAAGAGCACACCCCCGTCCCTGAAAGTTATAATGTAGGAGAGTAAAGCAAATCTCATCTCTTGCACTCCTCCACGATCCGACCCCTCTAAGATACTCCTCGAAGTTTGCCGCCGCGGACGCAAAACTCTCACCCTTGTCAAATCTTGTGATTCCATGGAAGCGAGGATAGCCCTGTGAGCCACAAGAGCCATTCCATTTATCTCCTTCTGGAAATTCCACAGTTTTCTGTAAACAGACCATTTATCATGACTTTACAGGTCTCAGCGCCGCCAACACTAGATTCCCACTCCCCCATCTCCGTACCAGAGCCCCCCCCCTTTGCCGCCAGATTCCTGGGCAGCACCGCTGGAGTTCAAGGTAGGTGCTTCATAGGTAGTATCTTTGTCATACTGAAAACCATCTATGGGTTCGGTGCTTACGTTTACATCTTTCAGACAGCATTTATCTTTTGTAATCCGGCAAGTACCCTGGACCTCACCAGAGTCGGTTAAAACCCTCTTTAGTCTGTCTTCCAGTAAGCTATTGTTCTCTATTAAAGTGCTGCATGTCTTTTGCAGCTCCATTAACATCGAGGTCTGATCTCAGATCACGCCGTCTAGCGCTAATATGTGTCCCTCAAAGACTTCACCTCTCTCGGCTTCAAAGAATGAAGAAGCCATGGTGGTATTTACCAGATCAAGGCACCGACGCATAAAAGCCTCCATATCATCAACCTGCCTCTCGATGGTGTTGAATCTTTGGTATAACAATTCCAGTGTGCTTACCGGGATCAGTATATTATTGATGTTAGGCAACTCTGGAGTCTCAAGGAAGTGATCGTCAATACTTTTATCCTATCTGATTTACTGCTCACTCACATTTCAATATCGTTCTGGGGCGATGTTAGTGACCTTACACTAATCTCAAGCTCTGATGACTGAAGACAGAACTCCCCCTCAGCAGAGCGACGAGTCTTAGTCGGGAAGGGTCCCTGGTAGCTTCCGCAGACTGAAGTGAGTACTTCGGCGATACGTCTCGTCCCTTTGCAGGAGAGAGCGCGACCGGCTGCTGCTCCAATGTTATTGTTGTGTAACTTGCTCACCTGAATTTTTCTTCCAAGCGCGGCTTGCCGACATTCATGGCAGCCTTCACTGACCGTCTTGCTGTATTTAGAGTGCTGCTGGTTGATGCTGGTGATTTATAGGCTTTCGCTCTACAGTTGTTGCAGAGCTCATGTGTCATGTTTCCAGAACACTTCGAGTGACATGGCTTCGGCTTTTGACATACCATACAAAGTTGCAGCCTCCTTGGTAGAGCTCTCTCCGCAAATAATGCACTTATTTTGACTCATTTCGACTTGAGCAGATATTAAAATTTTGAATTTACCACGCTGTTGCTGTTGAATCGGCACAAGCCCAGCGACGAATAGGCATAGGTGCAGTAGTGAGCAGGCGCGTGCGTAGAGCGGTCGGCTTTTTACCGTCAATTTCGCACTTCAAACACTCCTAATCTCTCAAAGATAACATAAGAATAAGAATGAACTCCCCGGCTTATATAAAGAAGCCTCGCAGTTGATGCTCCTAACAGAGAGAGGAAGAGATTGATTGATTGATTGATATCTCTTTTTATTCGTTATAGCAGCAAAACACTAAGTACAACTTCTATACAGTATACGTCAATATATACAATAATTGCGTTATTTTTACGCAGATTATCACAAAATTATCATAAGCGTTGAGACACTTTCTCAGTTGTAACGAAGGCAGCGCCTTATTCGGCACTGACGTCACCAATTTATTAAGGGGAGAGTAAGAGAGTAAGACTTTCGCTCAAGGCAATTGAGGGAGAAGAACGAGGAGAGGCTGATAAATGAATT